GCGGCCTGGCTGTGCTGCTGGCACTCGGCACACGAGGCCGTGGCGCCCGCTCTGGTTCACCTCCCCAGGCATTAAGCCGCCGTAATTGCTTTGGAAGCGAAGCATTTTCCTGGGCAGGAGCATATGCTGCATGCGTGCCTGAAGCAAAGATAAAAAGCCACCCTCCTCCTCCTCTATTGAAGTTTAATAATAAAATGGAACTGTCACCACGTCCAATAAATTGTTTATTTTAATTTAGAAAAATAATGAAAACTGGCCACCTTCTGGCACACAGTTGTCGAGGAGTGTCTTCCTGGCCCACGCAGTCTTGAACCTTCTGTTCTCTGGAGCTGGTTCTGGGAGACACGCAGGTCTCGGCGTCAGTGAAATCAACCACGTGTCCCTCCCCATTTAATAAAACCTGGGCCTTGAAGGGCAGAAGAAGTCATTTTTCAAGGTGTATTAGATTGTAAAGTTGCAAACCAGGAAGATGGCATAGAGGGAGTTTTGTAGGATTCCCCCCCCCCAAATATTTCTTTTAGTGAATATGAAATTAAAAGTCCCACATTTTCGGCCATCACGGTCCTTCCAGATGACTTCTCTTTCTGTACAATCAGTGAGCGGTTAGCCAATCCCCCTTGCATTAAGAGGTAAATGAAGGCTCAGATGAAGGAAGTGCTTACCCAGGCTTACAGAGAGGGTGAGTGGCAGATCGGGGATTGGAACTCAGGCCACCCACTCCCACCTGACGCTCTGAGGCACTGCTGCTCTCACTCTCCCACTCCCAGGCAGAAGCTTCCCCAACCCCATTTCATAGGGAGCAAAACAGGCCTGAGAGCCAAAGCTGCTTGCCTTGGGGGTCTCATAGTTGGTGAATGGTGTAACTGGAACTAGGATGTCTCTTGAATCCTAGTTCAGTTGTTTTGTTTTCCAGAGTCCATGGGTGTAGACCAACTGCTTACATGCAATGATAATACGATAGCATTAAATGTCACAGTGTTTGAATCTAGAGAAACCACAACTGGGGGTAGAGAAGGGGGAATCTGCACTGATGAGGCTACAGGGCCATCAACAGGCTTCTTGGTTCCCTTTCAGACACTACCCTGGCAGGCACGTGGTTAGGATTCTCTGGCACTGTCTCCACGCCATGGTGGTGAAAGCACACTGGGCATGCTGGGCATGCAGTGCCTTGCCCCCTGTGGCACAGGCTCTCACAGTGTGTGAAAACCACGAAATGCAAGGACAGTGGTTAAGAGGGGGGAGTTGGCGCAAATGAGATTAGGAGGATCTTTGTAAGGCGGGGGCAGGTATTGTCTCAGCCTGGGGTCATTGTAATGATCATGGCCATCAAGGTCCTTTCCGTTAAGCTGCCCAAATCCAGCTAAATCTAGTCAAAGAAGCAAATACGTCGGCTCACTTACCTGGAAAGGCTAAAGCGTGGCTGGATCTCGGGGCTCAGGCCGTGTTTTCATCATGCTCTCTTGCCCCATCCGTTGTGGGCTCTGCTCTGCTTGGCGTTACCTTTCTCAGGTGAGCTCCTCCTCTGCGGGGGTGAGGTGGCTGCTGGCAGCACAGGGCTCCCTCCCTGATCTTAGCGGTCTCCGTGGAGAGTCTTCTTGCCCACGTGTCAGTACAAGCCCAGGGGTTGTCAGGTGCCCATGCCTGTCCATGGGGCCACGGCTGATGAGTTGGCATTCACAGACTGGACAGGCCTGATAAATGGGCCCACCCCTGATCTGGGAAGGAGAGAGAAAGGTGCTAGCCTTACCTACACCATATAAGCTATGAGCGCTGGGTGTGAAAGAAAATCAGAGGAAGGGGAATGCATGCTGGACAAGCAAAAATCTCACGTATCCACTGGGTACAAGCCTTAGAGTTTCCTCCAACTTGCCGTTGGTCAACGGCTTGGTGAGAAGGGCGCTCTCAGGCCAGCGCTAACAGAGCTGCACGCAGTGATGTACGAGCTCTTTCCTCACTGTCCGGTGTGTGGCCACTAGCCACAGGGGGCTACTGAGCCCGTGAAGTGTGGCTTAGTGAGAACAAGGAACTGGGTTTTTAACTTTAGGTAATTTTAATTGGATTTAGTGTAAATAGCTCCATGTAGCTCATGGCTACCTAGTGGACAGAGCAGCTCAGGGAAAGCCCATCACGGGAGATGTTTTCCTAAAAGGTAAGACCCGGTTTTGTGTAAAAGGAGAGTTGGGCTGAGGGTTTACTGCAACCTGGGAGACCAGGAGGGTGAAGGCAATCGGTTCAGGTTGTGGAGTGGGAGCAAAGGGAGTTTGGAAGTGGGGGGCGGGAGAAACAAAGAGGGAGGGTTCTTCATCTGCGATACCATTTTGGAAACCCTTAACCCGAGGAAATAGTTTTTCCATCTAATATATAGACCAGATTTGTACCAGGAAAAAACAGAAATAAAAGCGAATTCCCTGACACATTGTTACATTTTACCCCTAAATATCCAGTAATAAAAGCAGCCATTGCCCGAAGCGCTTTCTACACGTGACACACAGCTACACATGGATTAGAAGAAAAATTAAATGGGGCTGCTGTCTTATTAAAAAAAACACAGTACTGTGTAAACTGTGCGCCTGAGCACAATTAAATGCAGTTGACAGAAATGACATCAGATGAACAGAATGAACTTGTCAAGGCAGGCTCTGGTCACTGCCATGGGAACCTGGGGCTGGTTAGAGACCAGCCTTCTTGCACGCAGCGTGATGGGCATGCTTGGTGGGGCACTCGCCGAGCCTGAGTCCTCTCAGTGGTCACCTCCACCACACGTCAGGTTCCCAGGGTGGTTGTGCTTGGTGAAGGTTGACCAGTCTATTCTGATCACCTCTGCCTCGCCAGCAGCCCTGACGCCTGGGCTTCCTTAGATTCACTTAACTGCCTGCATTTGTCCACGGAGCTCTCGTGGAGGACCTGTCATGTGCTCAGTGCCCTGCTGGGCCTTGACCATCAGGCAGGAAGAACAGAGAAGCCCAAAGCTTGGTTCCTGGCAGCATGGTCTTTCTGGTTCCCTGGTCGTAAGCATTCCTCTCCCCCATCTCTCAAGCACTCAGTAATCTCCTATAGACTCAGCCACAGCCCAGGCACAGAGAGGAAGAAAGAGCATTCTGGAGCCAGGCTAGTCAGGTCCATGTCAAACTCATGGCCAGTACCTGGCATACAAAATACTCAAAAAAATAAACAAGCGGCGGAGGTATGTGGGAAAGAAGGAGGGCATTAGGGTGGGTGAAGCTGATCTGGGGAGGAACCTGGGCCAGGCAGCTGGAGGTATGTGAATTTGGGCACAGCACTGATCCTCAGTCTCCTCATTTGACAGGTGGGGTGATGGAACCTCACAGGTTTGTTTTGAGGACTCAGTTACCTGGTATTTGTTAAGAACCTAACAGGGAGCAGGCTTTGATACCTGGAGCAACTCTGGAACATGAGGGTGTGGTTGCTGTGAGGGAGGGGTGGGCCTGGGGAGGGTCTTGTGGGTGGTATAAATAGCCCCAGGGTGAATAGTCAACGTTAAATCCAGCCTTGATTTGTGTTAGGCATGGGTGCCATTAAAGCTGAGTCACCGGGAGGAGCCCACTAGAGTTCTAGTGCATCCAGTTTGCTGGCAAGACTACAGCCCATCCCCATGAGCAGAGGCCCTGGTGCTCCCTAAGGGGGTGCAGGCAGAAAAGCATCTTAGAACCATGAGCCATGACCTAAGATCAGTTTCTGGTCTGTTCTGATTCTGCAATTGGTTTCAGGGTCCTATGGAAGATGTATCATGAGTGGGTGTCACGATGGCATGCTTGGGGCATTGTTGGGTAAGAGAAGAAAACCAATCCTAGGTCAGGAAATCACCAGCAAACATTTTCCATGAGCCCACCCTTCCTGCCCCTCTCCCTCCTGGTGACTTCTCCGATCAGTTTCCCCAACAGACAGGGTGTGGATGCCTTTGGGAAGAGAAGAATTCATTTCAATAGAAAAGAAACGGCTTCAGGATGGGTCAGTTGGAAAATAATGCCAGGCAGCTGTGTTGCTGTGGGCATGGGCTTTGGTTCAGTGGACATCGCACGCACTCTGCATGACCCTGGGCATGTGCCTGGACTCCCCCCTGCCCATTTGTTGGGAGCAGAAACGTGTGGGGTTCCAGCAACTTCCTTTCGTCCCCTTTACTCTCTGGCTGATGCTGGGCTTCTGTGGAACTAACAGCCAGAAGGTCCTAGGGGCTGCTCCCCCAGAGGCTCGTTCCCATTCTGCTTGTTTCTTGAAGCTCTTCTGATTTCTAGCCTGTGCCTCTCTTGCCATAATCACAGTTCTCCTGGGATCAGCCTTTATCCTTGCTCTTCAGAGATGGTTACTGAGCGTCTTCTGCATATCAGACGTGTGGTCGTCAGAGGAGACAGGGTAGGCCACCAGGCATACCGTGTCTTAGAAACCTCACAGTCTCAAGTGGGGCAGAACCCTATCAGGCAGTTACACACCTGGAGTGCCGTGTGCAAGTAGATCTGAGCATGGGGTGCAGTGCAGGGGCCCAAGGGAACATTCCAAGCTGATCTCGGGGGTAGGTGGTCTGGGAATGCTTCTCAGGCAGGAATCAGTGATGCTCAACCTAAGGTCCCAAAAATAGGTGGGGGAGAACCCGGCAGGGGAGAAAGGGAATGGAGAGAGAGTGTGTTCCCAGCGGAGGGGAGCGTGCACAGAGCCCTAAAGCGGCCAGACGTGGAAAATGGAGGGGAGACAAGGAGAGAGTCATGGGAGAAGACGCTGGGGAGGAAAGCAGGAATGTCAGATGAATTCAGTGTTTTTCACCAGAATTCAATAAATTTTTTCTCTAAAGTCTAATCAGAGCTAAAACATATATATGGAAGGTAAATTTTAATGAAAGAAGTCTTACATTTTAAATATTGAAGAAAAGAATTTGACCTTTGGGTCTGAGATTCAGTGGTCTTGCGTTAGCCTGCACCTGCCTGTTCATTCAAGGCTGGCATTTCACCAACAGGACAAGCTAATGGGTTTCTGCTTTGTTGTTTCAGCACTTCAGGGAGCACCTGGACAAACTTTTTGCCAAAGGAATCGGCATGCTGGACATAGCTCTGAACGAGGCCTTCAACATCCTCAGCGACGTAAGCTCCTCTTCGATTTGCCTTTCTCTTGTCCAGCAGACTAGATGGGATTGTTTTGAGTTGTGGACCAGCATTGTCCTTAGGCCTGGCTGTCGCTGAGCGGTGTCCACAGGCACAGGGTGGGAGGGGGAGGGCTCGGGAACCAGGTGGAGCCCGGGAGGCCCACCAGGCCCCTGCTGGGCGGAGTTGGTGGTGCAGCCTGGTCGGGACTCACCAGCCTCCAGGACCTGAGTGTCTCAATACCCGGACACCTTATAATGCAGATTTCTTTTCACCTGAGAAACTCTCACTGTCTTCAGAGAATAGACCAATTTCTCATTGTTTGTCACTGAATCCTTGAGTGTGACCATGTTCTGAGGGTGAAGGGCTTCTTTGTTTAGTATGTTTAGGGAGTGAGTGCTGTACCTATCCTTCCCTCTCTTCCAGCCCCTTAGAGATCCCCAATAAACAGTATACCATGATCGAGGTCCCAACAAGTGCTGCAGGAAAGAATTCTGCTTAACCTGCTCTTTCTCCCACTTGGAACACATATATTTTTTTCAAGTAGCACCTGCTAACATCCCATGAACTATGTTGGGGCTGGACTGGCTCCACTTGTGTGAAGCTAGAACAACACGAGACTTTTATGTTCTTGTTGCTCTGGGAGGGTGGCAGGCAAAAGGATAACTGTCTTTATCAATGCAGGTTCTGTATCATTTATTTAGTTAGTATGTATAGTATGCGTTTTAATTATTTGGGTGACAGATAGTGATGGCTTAGACCAGGGAGGCAGCAGTTACGATGTTAAGAAACAGACAAATAGAAAGCACTCTAGGTATTTCAAACAGCAGGAGTTTAATTCTGGGAAGTGGTTGCACCGGGGATGGAAAAGCTGAGAAACCAAACAGGGAATGAAACAATGCACAGATGAACGCCAGCAGGAGGCTCCTCTCTAGGGCAGCAGGGATAACAGGAGGGTGGTACTCCATCAGAGCCCCTCGCTGTGGCCATTCAGAGGGAGCAGAGCCACGGAGGGGCCTGCCTTGCTGGGATCCTGGAGGGAAGAGCCTGTCCTGGGGAAGCTAGTGCCGTGGGGGAGACCCAGCCATTGCCAGAAAATGCCCTGCTCCAACAGCAGAGAGAAGGGGAGAAGTCGCTCAGAAACCTGGCTTCTCCCTGTGTCCTCCAGTATTCTGCGCATGAACCTTGTCGGAACTTCTGGGGAGCCTGGGAAACATGGTTTTTAGGAAAAAGGCAGGGGGTGGAGCTAAACACAAACTGGCACTCAATGGGGTGTCCGCTGCATTGAGGCGTCCCAGGTGCTGGGAGACCAGCAGGGTTCCGGTGCCTCCCTGTCCTAGCCTCCAGGCAGCTCTGAGGGGTGACTGTCAGGTTGCAGCAGCATCCAACACTGCGGGGTCGTACGCGGTGGTCAGGAATGCCTGATTCCAAGACCTCACTTGTTCCTACTCAGCTACCCGGGCCTCTCAAGCCAAGGGGAGGACCTGATTCTAGACTCTCTTCTGCCAATAACGTCTGCTGGTACCCAGAGGGCCATTTAGGTCTCAGCCCTGAGCCGGTGTCACAACTGCAGAGGAGAGAACCAGGAAGGGAAGGTGCCACACCAGCTTCTTCAGTGTAAACCCGAGGCCATCCCCTGTCTCAGTCCAAGGGGCCTGGCCAAACAGAAGAAGTTATAGGCCGAATGTAAATTCCAGAAAGTAAAAATCAGAAGGAACAAAAACTGTTACAAAATGTCCCTGCTTGAGGTTTTGACAGTTGGCACCATTTTTTTTATTTTATTTTAGTTTTTTAGTGCACATTTATCCCATAGAGAGAAACATTTCCATTTCATCTCTTGCCATTGGGCTTTTAAATAGCCAAACGCTTTGAAAAACACAGAGATTGTTAATCTCTCATGAAAATGAAGCTCTAGCTATTTTCCGCTTCACCGATACGATCTTTACGTGATGTATTTCCCTTCCTGTGTATTATGCCTGCCTTTGCAAGCAAATAAGAAATAAAAAGTTATTTCTCAAACACACAAACACATATTCTCTCTTTCTCTCTGCCTCTCTCTCCTTTCTCTCTCTCTCACAGAGACACACACTTGAAATCATGACTGGCTGGAACTTAGAATGGTTCAGAGGTCACTATAACTAAAGGAAGTTAATTCTGTTTTGCAATTACCTGCATTTCAGTTTCATATCTGCTCAGATGCCTTAAAGGCTTGCAGTCACTGTGCAAGCCGCTTTGAAAGGAGCATTCAAATAAACTCGGGGGACCCTTCGGGCTATTGGTCTCTGCCGCCTTCATTAGTCTGTAGGAACACGGAGCCAGTGTGCTACAGTCCTTAGTATCCACCTCGTCATGTGACAGCTGCAATTATCTTTTTTGGCAATGAATATGATCTTTACAGTGATTACTTTTAAAAAAATTTTCTTAGCCAATTAAATAAAATTCAGTGACATTTCAAAGACTGTTAATCACAACCAAATGCTTTAAATGTCAGGATGCATTGAGATTTTCTCTGCTAACTGATGAATCACTGAGCTAATTGTAGTTCATCATCAGGCCCTTGTCATTGTTATTATTATGGAAAACACTTTCATCACTCTCTCTATTCAACAAAAAAAGTTCTAGACAAACATGAAGAGGAAAGATAGTACTCATCAAAGCATTTGAATTTAATTGCATTCTCTCAAATTCTCCAACTGCAGATTGCTGCAGAGAATCCCAGGGACACAGCCAGAGAGGAAAGTGATGTTGTTAAATAAACAGCTCCGGGCATCCCTCCTTCTAGTCTGCGTTATTCAGACATCTTCATTTCCCCCTCTTTCTTGCCTTTCATTTGGGAGAGTTTTCCCGGGATGTTTTCCCGAGTTGCGTGAACAACATCCTCAAGCTATCCTGAGTTTTTTCCCTTCTGCAGCCTCTGTGACCTGAAGCATCGATCACCTTTGCGCAGTGGCTTGCTACTGGGTTTATTCTGTGGCTTGCAGGCTGTGCTGAATGCAGGCTCCCCCAAACATCTCTAGAGCAACCTGTCAATCAGACAAGGCTACAAGGCTGCTCTTTCTTCCTGCAGTAAGGAGCCAAATGCACTCTGACCATAGAATCTTAGTGGTGTGTCAGCATGGAAAAGACAACGTCCTTTATTAAGACTGTAACTTCTGATCGAAGGGTGGAGGAGAGGGAAGAGGCTTGGTTAAGACTTGGTAAGAATCCGAGTATTATAGTGTAGGATTAGTGGATGTAGTAAGGGGAAGATTCCGAGGGGGGATTCAAAGAGTCTTAGAGTATGAATTGTCCTTTGATGCTTTTGTATTGATGGGTCTTTCCACAATACCTAGAAGAAGCTATGAAGTTATTTGCAATTTTTATTTTCTTCAGCAAGAGTTTTCTGGAATATTGTTATGTCAATAAAGACAGTATAATAGTAATTATGTGAAAAGCTTTGTGGTGTGATGGCTTTAGTTGTCAGGTATTTTTCCCTACTCATTTGTGTCATGGGCCATGTCTGTTCATTAATTCAAGGACACCTGTCCAGTCTTAGATGTAGGAGTGGCTGCCAGGGCCAGTGCTAGGGCACAACATTTAAGGAGCACTCACTCCCTCTCAGGGTGGTAGCCCTGGTGACGCCAAGTGATCCTGGAGCCTTGGAGAGGACAGAGAAAGAAGGAAGGAGAAGGAAATGAACATTTGTAGAGTCCTATGTATCCCTCTCTGCTCAAGGACCTTGTTGGGAGGAGGTAAAATGTGCTGGATCTGGGGGTGGGTTCTGGAGCTCGACTGCCTGGGTTCAAATCTCAGCTATGGCAGGTAATAGCTGTGTGACCTTGGGTAAGTTAGCTAATCTCTCTGTGCTTCAGTTTTCCTACCTGTAAGTCAGGGACAATGGTAGAACCTACCTCAGAGGCTAGTATGTTACGCTTATACTTATAGCCCAACATATAATGAAATTTAACTTGTGTTCTGACAACCATGTAAGCATGGTATTCCTGCCTTATCAATGAAGCAAAGGGCACTCTGAAGTGAGAACTCACCCCAGGCACACAGCTCATGGTGCTGGGATGGAGTTAAGCACTTTCCACTGTATTGTGGTACACCATGCATGTTTCCAGTTGGCTTTGCTCTGTCCCAGTGCTGCCACANATCCATCCATCCATCCATCCATCCATCCATCCATCCATCCATCCATCCATCCATCCACCCACCCACTCTCCTACCCATCCATCCCCCCCATCTCTCCATCCATCCATCCATCCATCCATCCATCCATCCATCCATCCATCCATCCATCCACCCGTCCATCCTTCCAGTTAATTATAATCTTCTTTCAAGTTATTACAACTTCACACTCCACATCAGAATTCTAAATGCACAGAGACTAGGCATTAAACTTCAACTTGAATGTTTTATTAGCTTTTTGATTCACCGGGAACCAGCAAATCCAAAAGCAGCTTCTATCACTCCTTGGTTTCATGGTCAACAGTTTGAACAAGCTGCACACAGTCCCACTTCGTGCCTTGCATGTGTTTTGTTTGCCTCTCTGGAGTGCCCCTCGCTCACCTCCTTCAGGAATTACTCAGTGCCACCTTCTCAGTGAGGTCTTCCCTCACTACTTTTTCTAAAGTTACCCCTTCCCGTTTCCTATCCCTTTTCTCCACTTTCTAATTTTTCTTCCTAGCATCACCATTATCAAACATACAGCATAATTTACTTACTTACTTTACTTTTAAGTGTCTTTGTAAATAGAATGTGAATCACACAAGGGCAGCGATTCCTGTGTGTTACATTGACAGCCTCGTGTGGGCTTTCAGTAAATAATTTTTGAATAGGTGAATAAACTTTATAGATTACAATAGATGGAGTTTCGCTTCTGAAGGTTAAAGGCGTTTTGTGTGTTTCCCACACCTTGGCGTTATCATATCATTGTAGGGTTGTTACATGGCATTACTTTGAACTGCAGCGTGAATAACATTCAGTGAGGGACCTCTTCACTCCCGATTCAAGGGAAGGACGTGAAGCTCTGGCCTCCCGAGCCTACCTCTCACGGACACTGGGATTTTTAAAATGTTATGTAAAACTGAAAGCTCAGTTGGGTTTTGTACACCAGTGGGCCCTATCTTGGAACTTCAGCATGCTACACATACTAACATGCATAAACTAATAAAAAATGTTTCATGCTAACAAATATATATTTAAAACAAACCCTAAACCAGGGGTGGGGAACATCCGGCCTGCGGGCTGTATACGGCCTGCAAAATCATTTGGTCTGGCCCTGCCAAGGCCTCACCAAAGAGAAGCAGTTCCAGCCATCACATTAAGGGTGAGTTAATTAAATGTTTGACCAAATATAGCAGGCTAATTTTTAAGTTGATAATTTTGTATGGCCAGTGAATGCTATTATAAATATCCAAATGGCCGTTGGCAGTAAAAAGGTTCCCTGCCCCTGCACTAAACAAAGGGGGGTCAAGCTTCTAATCTGAATTATTATGATCCTGACTTTATTCTCTATATGTCCAAAGCCTCCTTGATTTTATTATACAGAACAGCTTGTCCCCATTAGACCCACTGAAACCAAACTCAGCTTTTGAAAGAGATGCTGCTTGGCACATAGTCTGCCACTCATACAGTGTGTTCCTGGAGGTTGTTGGGCCAACTCCTCTGGGCTTGTCTTCTGAAGTGCTGTCCGCACTGGAAGGTGAGAGAGGGCATGTGTGTTAGAATCTCACTTCCCACTTTCTGCCTGTTCCTCAGATATCCCTTCTGTGGTCTGCATCTTGTTCCAAGTTGGAGGAGTAAATGTGGTGACCCGGTGAGGGGAAGGCATATTGTGTAGGTCCCGCATTGGTGGTGCACCCGAGGTCTCCCTTTGAGAGGCTCCCTAAGCCCTGGACCTCATGCCTCTGAAGTCTCATGGATACACGGAGCTCTCTGCTGAGTTTTTAACTTTGCACTTATTTCTCTCCGCAGTTCAACCACACGGGACAAGGAAGCATCTGCAGCCAGGCCATCATGCTCATCACAGACGGGGCAGTGGACACCTATGATACAATCTTTGCGAAATACAATTGGCCAGATCGGAAGGTAAGTTGCTGCCGGCACTGGCCACGCAGTGCAGTCCGTGGAGAATCTTAGCTGTGTGGAAACCTCCAGATTGTTCACAGATAAGTGCCCCGTGCAGATTTAATCTTATAATGACCTATGGTTTCTCAGCTGTGTGTTTTCTGGTTCACTGAAAAGGAAGGATGGCTTCCCTTGTTCTCAAAATGAAACATTTTTGGAGAGAAGGAACCCATAAAGACACATTCAGCATGTTCAGTGAAAAGATAGGTTGTGACCTGTGCTTTGTCCATTTGGGGCACTACTTCCCTTTGTTTTCCATGGAGCCAGAGCTGCTTGGTGGGCCCAGCATCCCTGGAGTGGCGAAGTCAGCCACGGTGGCCCTGCAGCATCTCTTTATGTCTCTGTGTCTCTACAGTTCCTTCCTGAGCCCCGGTTACTATGCAGAACCTTCTGTCCATGCCCCCCCGTGCTGTTCCCCACCCGTGTCAGAGTTTGTTCTCTGTTCGGATTACTGCATTGCTTTCCAGGTTGACATTTATGTATCTGTTGAACATAGCAGTGATGGATATTAATATTTCTGGTGCCTTTTGAGTGCCTTCATCCATAGATTCCTCAGGCTATTAGTCATTTTGAATTCCCTGGGGAGAGCTCTATGTCGTGGGTACTTGGATCCACCCCTACACCTACTGAACCACAATCTCTGAGGACATGGTCCAGGAATCCATGTTTTTAATAAGTTCTTCAGGGGGCATCAATCAGCAGATGGGCAGTTGGTAATCACTGTCTTACCTGAATGGTGAGATTTCAGCGGGAAAACAAGGCCACGCTGACAGGGTGCTAATCCGGGGGGTCACAAAGTGCGTTCCTATCCCAGGTATCAGTGGCTCCACTGACTGTCCCCATAGGGGTGTGAGACCATCCAGAACAAGTCCATCCTGGTTGTTCTACTTCGTATATTCAATTTAGGGATTGAACTGCCATGCGCACTCGGCAAAAAGAAACAAGACAAATGACAATTGTGCTCTCAGCCGTATCGGGGAGCATGGATCCTGGAGGGGTTGTGAGATGTCATTCCATGTTCCCTCGCCCGCTCTTGGTCCCCGAGTGTCTCTGATGACATAGGCATCTTACCTCACCAGGTGTGAGTTTGGTTTTTAAAGGTACAGACCTTATGTACAGCGTGGTTCCCAAGTGGACACCAGCTCCTTCCCCGGGGCTCATCCTCAGAAACAGCCATCGCTCTGTGGCTGGAGGAGAAGCCAACTGTGCAGGGCTTACTGACAACACAGGGCTCTGTCTTGACACCTGCCTGATTATCCAGAGATAAATTTGGCTGAACGCAACTCCCTCAGCAAGCACTGACTTCAGAATCCAACCCTGAATAAGACGAGGCCCACTGTTGGACAGGGTGACTTAGATGCTGTATTTCGGGTGATGGTTTCCAGGGACAGGTAGAGGCCAGAGTTCCTTCCTGAGGAATGTTCGTGACGTGAAGGGAGGAACAAGCTGGGTGCGTGTGCACACTGGCAGCACCCACCACCGTGCCAGGTGCATGGCTGATACCTGGCACCCAGCTGAGTGATGAGGGGCCCGAGAGGGGGACCACAGCGCCAGTGAGCATGGGCGGGGTCGTGGGTATTGTGTAGTCAAATAGAATGCTCACAGCTGCCGTGACATCTCACAGCACGTTGAGGGATGTTTTGAATGATTGAGGACCATCTTAAATAAAAGAAGGAAGTGAAGGGCCCTTTTAATAAGCAGCTGGGCTAACACCAAATGTGTTGTCATGAGTAGAGAGCGCAGAGTCACGTGACTCCCTCCACGGGGTGATGCTTGATCGAGAGCAGTTGCAGGAATATTCGTATTTAAACATTATGGCATGGCTTGCTGGGAGAGGCATAGGATGAGGGCCGCAGAGTCATAATTCTTCAGACAAATACAAATTTCAACATATCTTTCCAAAGGAACAATATTGACTTTAGGCCAGGTGCTTCCTAGGATTAATTGGAATCAGGGTCCTGGAAATTTCAAAGTTAATGCAAAAACAGTTTCATCTACTTAGAAAGTATTATCAAGCAGAAGCAGACTTCTCTCTGTAGCAAGAGGCTCTTTTTTAATGATTAAAAATTAATAGCCGGATTTTTTTCCTTTCTGCTCCATTCTGGAGAGTTCCATGACATATGTGTACATATGCACCTGCACATACATACACATAGACGTATACGTTCTTTTCTTGGTGACTTCTCTGGGAAGGTGCAGGTAATAATTATACATAAAACCCTGATGTCGGTTCGCCCTGTTTTAAAGTGAGATGATGTACAGTGTCTGCGCAGTCATCTTTCTCTGTTATTTTGAACATTAGCAGAGGATTGTGTCAAGCTGTGGTTGGTAATCTTCCAGATTATAGAAATGGAAATGGGTTCAGGAGAAGCAAAAATGACCTTAAGGCTAGAGCATGATCCCCATCAAACAGTCTTTCTAAAACTCGAGTGAGCATCGGAACCACCTGGGTGGCTCGTTCCAATAGTCGTTGCTAACCCCTCTCCAGGGTTTCTGATTCAGTAGGGCTCCATGGGGCCTGAGAATGTGCATTCTCGCAGATGCCCAGGGAATGCTTCTGCTGGGGGTGGAGAAGCGCCACTGGGGAACGACTGCCATAGACATAGTCCAGGGCACAAGGTGTGGCTAGTGTGTGGGCTCCACCACTGTCCTTTCCCTCTGTCAACCTTTACAAGGCCCTGTTTCCTCAGTCAGATCCAGTGCCCAAGTATATGTTTTTTGGCTCGTGCTTTGTTAAAATATTGCCAGTTACTGAGCATCATTTAAAAATCTGCCTATAGTACATAACATTTTAAAGTTACAGTTTTTCTCATAAATGGATACACTTGGCACTCTGGAGCTAACATTTTTATATGAAAAAAAACCTGGCTGGAGCTGAGAAGTGGCTGCTTCCTTAGACGGCCACGACCCTCACCATTCTGTCGTTTCCGCTTCAGCCACTTCCCTCGTATGCTTTACCTGCCCATCGGGGTGCAGCTCTGGATTAACAGGTACTTGCTGCTTCGTAGGTGTGGCTTGTATTACCCAACCTTTGGGGATTTGTTCTTTCTCTTGGGCCTGCCCTAAGCTTTCCCTTTTCTCCTTCAGCCAGAGACCGTCTTTTCTTTGCCTGAACCCTAAGCTTTGGGCCCCTCAGAGTTGTCATATGGAAGCATACCTTCATGTCCAGCACTACAATTACTTCGGGACCTGTTTTCTTCTTCATTGGTTTGGCCAGTCCTATAGGACAGATTTCGTATCTCTGAACAATCCCACCACCATGCACCGTATCCCAGCCCTGCTGAGAAGCACGGCATAGCCACCCTAGGATAGAGTTGGGATTCTACCCCCTGGTGTTTACACCCTATATAGTCTCCTCACCTTGGCCGTGGGTGGGACCTATGGTTTGCTTCTAACCAATAAAATATGGTAAAGGTGAAGGTGTTTGCAGGTGTAATCAGGTATCAAGTCCATTGGTTTTGATCTAATCAAAAGGGATATTATTGTGGGTAGGCCTTATTTAATTGAAAATCTTTAAAAAAGGGACTGGACACTCCCTGAGGGTAGAGAGACTCTTCTTGTGAGTTTGATGAAGAGGCTATTTGGAGAAGTCCAGTGATGAGGACCTGAGGACAACCTCTAGGACCTGGGGGCATCCTCCAGCCAACAGCCAAAAGCTGCACCCTCAGTCCTGTTGCCACAAGGAAATGAATCCTGCTAACAATCTGAATGAGCTTGCAGGCAGCTTCTTCCTCAGCCGGACCTCCAGATGAAAACAGAGCCCAGCCAGCACCTCAACTGCAGCCTTGTGAGACCAGGCCCAGGAGGCCAGCTAAGCTGTGCCCAGACCCCTGACCTAAAGAAACTGAGATAGCGAATGTATATTGATTTAAGCCACTACATTTTTGATAGCTTGTTATGCAGCAACAGAAGCAAGGAAAAGGGAAAAAGGAAAGACAATCACTTACATAGCAATACTATAAAACGTCCCCAAACCTAGTAGCTGAAAATAACAATGTATTATTTCTTGCAATTCTATGGGTTAACAATGTGGTGAGTCTACTCCGCATGGTGTCAGGTGGGGTCTCTAGCTAATCTGCACGCAGCTGGGAGCTTGGTGGGGCTACCTCGGTCCTCCTTGCCATGACCTCTCTCTCCACATGTTGCCTTGTCTTCCAGGGACACCCTATGAGGTTTCTCTCCTCAGTACAGTAACCTGGACTTCCTTACGGTATGGCAGCTGGTTTCTCAGAAAGGGAAAAGGGGAGGAAGTAGGGGGACAGGCCAGGGAAGCACTTATGGGTATCATTTTTTTAAAGCTACCTACCACCTAACCAGGGCTTTGCTCAAGGCAACTGATTGATAAATCATTTTAGAATGAGTTGGAAGAAGGAATGCATTGCTGGTGACTTAACTATGAGTCCATGAAGGCAGCGATTGCCGATGCAGTGTGTCCCTTGCCAGCACTGTATTTCTGGGCACAAATGAGGAGCTATTCACTCACTTATTGGGTGCCAGTTCCTTTTGCCTGGTATCCATTGGTTTGTGGCTTAACAGCAGCTCTTGCACACTTGGAATAAAATATGAACTTCTCAACATGAAAGGATCTGCTCAAGAAATAAAGCTGCCTACGTTTAAATTAGAAAAAGGCTCCTACCTGCCATCTATGTAGCTGCTCTTCCAAGTGAACTAAAAAGAAAAAAAGCTAGTGGAAGGATTTATCATTACCTCCCCTGATGACAAGGCAGAGTGGGTAGGAAGAAATGGTAAGTAAGTGGTTTAAGGAAAGGGTTGCAAACTATGGCCCATGGGCCAAATCTGGTCCATTGCCTACTTTGTGTGGCCTATGAGCTACGAATGAATGATTTTTCACATTTTTAAATGGTAAAAAAAAAAACCAAAGAACCAAGGAAAATAATACTTTATGATGTGTGAAAATTATATAAAAATTCAAAATTTACTGTCCATAAACAAACTATTAT